ATAGAAGATCAGCAACCTTATTTTTGATAAACTGGGTGAAAGCCTGAAGTGGTACAAGTGTAAAGGACTACACAATTCCCAAACTTTCTCACTGCATCCTTTATTAGGAGGAGAATAACATAGATCTTCCCATAAAGACAAGGCAGTCTTGTGTCACTCTGTGAGTGGGTCTGAAGCAGGAGGGACTTCATGGGGATCAAAGCAGGAGCACTTGAAGACATCCCCAAGGGTTCTGAGCAGCCTGCTCTCCTACCTCGCTCCAAAGGTGGATCATCAGAGGAGCAGGGATGTTGCATCTGGTTACAGTGCAGATTTCTGTATGGCAGCTGTGTGGGTCTCGGTGAGCTGTTTGACAGAGATTTGGCTCAAATTTTATGTAATTTTCTGACCTGCCTTTTAAAGGAGTTCTGGTACTGGCTGTGAGGATCCCTTCTGTCTACAAAAGGATCTTTTAGTATCTCTTCAATATTGCATTAAGCTGAACTCTGTGAAGTGGTAGCTGCCTGTGTTTCACTTTGATTTTTTTTTTGCTCAGACTACAATTTGTCAGTCTCGCCAAATTTCTGGGAAGGGCAGAGTCTCACTTCTCCCACAGCAGCACGGTGTGTGTTACCCTGAACTCTGGAGGCAGCTGAGGGGGCAGCAGATGGATGGAAAGAGCAGCTCGCCCCAGGTGGCACAGGATCCTCCTCTGCAAACTGCTGAAGCCAGTGACCAGTGATTTCTGGCCTGTATCAGGAATAGTGTGGCCAGCAGGAGTGGGGAAGCGATTGTCCCCCTGTACTGGGCACTGGTGAGGCCTCACCTCAAATACTATGTCCGGTTTGGGGCCCTTCACTACAAGGAAGACATTGAGGTGCTAGAGTGAACGCAACGAAGCTGGTGAGGGGTCTGGAGAACGAGTCTTCTGAGAAGAGGCTGAGGGAACTGGGGTTGTTCAGCCTGGAGAAAAGGAGGCTGAGGGGAGACCTTCTCGCTCTCTACAGCCCCCTAAAAGGAGGGTGTAGAGAGATGGGGGTCGGTCTCTTCTCCCAAGGAACAGGCGATAGGACAAGAGGAAATGGCCTCAAATTGCGCCAGAGGAGGTTTAGGACAGATATTAGGAAAAATGCTTTCACAGAAAGGATTATCAAGCATTGGAACAGGCTGCCCAGGGAAGTGGTGGAATCACCATCCCATGAGGTATTTAAAAGACAGGTAGATGTGCTGCTGGAGACATGGTTTAGTGGTGGTTTTGGCAGTTTTAGGTTGATGGTTGGGTTTGATGATGTTAAAAGTCCCTTCCAACCTAGATGATTCTATGATTCAATAATCTGTACACATCCATTGACATGGAGCTTTCTGACTTCTAGATGGGCAATAGATCCCTTGCTTTCCCCTAAATCCAGGCTGGGGCTCAGGGTATGGGAGAGGAGTGAGTATCTTGTGGGGAGGGGGATAATTCAGTAACTGCTGCCCAAGTAATTGCCTTAGTAAAGAAGAGAGAACTAATTTCTTGTCAAATGCGTTTTAATTTTTGTTATAAAACCACTTTTAAAGTCAGGATTTTCAAATCACTTTATTTCTGACTTATTAACAAAAAACTGCTTATATCATGTTCTGTAAATGGGCTCAATTGAGGCTGATTGTAACTTGGTTCTTATTTACATGAAGCAAATATGCAAATTATTGATGAAACTTCCAAAGTTATATTTATTTTATATAAGCTTGAATTATGTAGAAAAACTGCATGTTTTCAGGCATTTTTAATAGACTGTAGTTTACATTATGAATATATATTTTTACTAGTTTGCAAGGCAAAGGGGCAGGGGGAAATTGTTTCTTAGGCACCACATCTGAAATACAGAGCCTGTGTATGCACAGAATTAGTTCTGGGATGATCTGGACTATGGCTTAAGTCCCTCTGTAAAATAGGGTATGTGAGATGGAGAAAAAGCCTATTACCTGAGGGGGAAGATAGTGAACTTTGTGGCACTCAAGTTATTTTCAGTAATAAATTAGACTAAATGTGGGTTTTGTTTTGATTTCCATCACCACTACCCCACCCACACTCTGATCTAATCTCTATTCTGTTGGCGTGTAGTTTCAAGAATTTATCAGAAATACTTTTCTTGCAATTCATTTCTAAATAATACAAGGAAGAAAACCCCACAGAATGATGAGAAAAGGTGTAACTGAAATTTTCTCAATGCCTCAGATGCATTTAAACCTTGAATGCGGTGCTGGTTCTTCAGGATTAAACTAATTTAAAAGAATGAGACCTTTTTCTAAAAGGATACATTCATTCTGCCAGTAAGTCCTTTTTGGAAATAAACTGCTATGCCTAGCGTTTCCAAAACAATATTATAATACAATTAAAATAAAGGAGGAAATACTGATTGCTTAAATACTATTTTTTAAACAGTATTTGAACAAATAGTTCTTGAGCTACACTGCTAATTTAAATTAGAGAAGAAGCTTGCCCTGACAATATGTGATGGATGTAGCAGAGTGCCATACTGCTTCAAGATTTCCTGAGAGAGTAAAAAAAATCCTATATTTACTCTGCTGCATCGTAAGACTAAGACAAAAAAACGTATAGAAAACTGACATTTTGTGAGGCTGCCACAGAACACATGCTGTTTTGATATATTAGTTCGACACAATCAATTGCATGGACAGTGTGATTTCTTTTGAACTGCTTATTTTTGAAATCCTTAGATGTATTGTGTTTTTGTGGGAAACTACATGTTTCCCTCCATTCTCCCCCGAATTATTGTTATAGTCTTTCAGCACTAACTGGATCATTACTTGGGTTTTTTTGTTTGCCCTTTTCTAGGATGTGAACAAACTAATGAAGCCATAGGAAAATAAAAGTTAATTGTAAAATACGATGAGATCAGTAATTACTGATCTTCATCCTAAGTTTGTAAGAAGAAATAGTATGCAAAAAAATGCCAAATTTAGTATATATCTCAAACCTAAGATCTAGTGACTGTTTTCTGTTTGGCCTATATTTTTCCTGTTAATCTCCAGCACAATGGAGTAATTCACTAGAACAGATGGATTTAGGTGGAATTAAAGTTTTTCCATTTAAACCACAAGTCTTATCCTTAAATTTATAAATTAATCTTTTAAACCGATTTAATTACTTAAAGTAGTTAAATAGAAAGATAATAGTATGTCTTAAACTTCTAATGCAAAGAGTTTCCTTATGTACCAATGAAAGTTAGTTTACATAAAGAAGATGGATCCAGCTACCTGAAACAGAAAGAAGTTCTTGGTACAAAGGATTTTGGAACTGTCCTGGCCCAGCACACCCATGCAACAGGTGGAAGTGCTTTTTTTCTTTTTTTTTTCCCAATAAGAAGAAATAAATACATCAATTTCCAATGACTGAAGATTTTTTTAAGTGTTAAATAACTCTATATTGCTAAACAAAATCAGTGCAGTATTGATTAAATGATTTACACACTGCTATAGTATTCTTGTATATGTGATGTAGATTAAAAAAATAAAAGTGAGGCATTCTGTGCTGGCACTTGGGAGAAGAAAGGATGTATGGCAAAATTTAGGGAAGTTTGATATGTCAGGGCAAAACATTCAACTCAGTATGGGACTGTTTGGATGTTTTGTTCATTCTTTGAAGCATATGCCTTAATTATTTTAGAAGGAACACTTTTCCCTTCAGGTCTTGGCTCCTCTCCTGGTTGCTTTCACTCCTTAGGGTTTTTTTGTGGGCCAGAGAGTTTGGACGTCTTACAAGGGTCAGAGAAAGATTGAATTTCTTCCTTATCAGTCTTTGGCTGGTGTAGGATTTTCTAGCTACAGCCAGCAATCTCAGGACTGTTGGCCATTTCTTGTCTTAAAAAAAATTAGCAGATTGGACAAGACGAGGCAGAAAAATTGATTAACGTTTCCTACTCATGTTTATAAAAATGTGAGTTGGGCTTTACTGGTTTCAGGGAAGTTTGTTATTAAAAGAATACTTCTTTCTGCAGTGCCATAACAGGTCGGGAGGAGGGTGGCCTGCTGAACAGAGTGATTTGATCAAGAAGCTTAACAGTTTATTGACCTGTGTTTCTGGTAGTGCTGACTCTGGATCACGAGAGGGACAGAAATTGAGAGAAAGTCCTTAGCAACCTGTGTGCACTCCAGGACTTACTTGGGCTCATGTTCTGAGGTGTTTCTGGGTCTGATGGCAGAGTGGCATAAAAGCAAGTCCAAACAATATGGAAAAAACCAAGGCAGTGTATCTTAGGCATCTTTTGCAAACCTTGATAAAAACTCCCTTGAAAATGCTATCTAGCGGTTTGATTTTTTCCTATTCTGAAAGTTGACTCCCTAGGAGAAGAATGGTATTTTAACCTTCATTCTTCAAAAAGTGTTAAGTTCTGATCCCCTGAGACTGAAAGAAGTAATTTTGTTCAAACGTGACATTGGGGTGGGTTACTTTAGACTTGGACAGTGGCTAGAAAAATAATAAGCTACGTTCTTGGTTCTTATGCAGGTGTTTTGTATACATAGGTTTTTCTATATGTATATACTATGTTTTATAGACTACATATTATATATTTCATCAGAATGTCTGATAAGTGTATCTGCATGGACTTGATGATTGTGAAAGTTCTCATTCAAGGGTGTAAGCAAACACCAGCAGATGCTGCTGGCCTACTCTTCAAATTGGGGATTCTTAGGAAGATATTTCCCTCACCACTCTTCCACCTTGGTGAAATAATATGACTTTGCAAACAGGAGACAAGCCTCGAGGGCAGTAGATGCAGGAAGTTCAGATGACAGGATGTGAATTCCTAGAAAAACTACAGGAAAGGCTTCTTTTGGGCTATACTCAACCTAACCGATAAAATTTCACATGTGCTTAATCTATATGGTATATCTTTCTGCAATAGAAAAATTGAAGAAAGTTGCTTTTTAATTACAGATCCTGAAAGTATTGATCTTTAAGGCTAAGGGAGTGTATGCTTTGAATTTTAATGTTCCTCTCCTTTCTCTCTTTGTAGCTGGAATGTATGCTGCTTTCTCTACAGCATTATAAGCTCTGATATTCAGAAGAGGAAAACTGAAAGATGCCATCTGAGAGGTGCCTGAGGTATAGTACTTGGTAGCATGTATGAAGTCATTCACATTTAGGATGACATTTACCAAAGCATCAGTTAAGGACAGTAGGAAAATGAAAATATTATTGTTCATTAGAAATTAATATTATTTAATACATGTCCTTATTATAATCTGCAAACTATTGCTTTCTTGTTGCCACTTAACATAGCATGATAGAATTGTTTAGGTTGGAAAAGGCCTTTAAGATCATTGAGTCCAACTATTAACCTAGCACTGCCAAGTCCCCCACTAAACCACATCCCTAAGTGCCACATCTACACATCTTTTAAACCCTCCAGAGATGGTGACTCAACGGCTTCCCTGAGCAGCCTGTTCCAGTGTTTGACAGCCCTTTCTGTGAAGACGTTTTCCCTAATATCTGATCTAAACCTCCCCCCGTTGCAACTTGAGGCCATTTCCTCTTGTCCTATTGCTTGCTATCTGGGAGAAGAGATATCTTCAGATCTCTGAATTCATGGCTTCATTTTTGTGTGTGTAGTGTTCTGCTCTTCACGACGTATATTAGTCTTCCAGTTTTTTGAAATGGCTTCAAAGCATTCTCTCCAAAGTCATCATCCTGCCTTCCAGGGTCTCCCATTCTATCTTTTTCCCTCTTACAGAGTCTTAATCTATATGTACTTGCCAGTCTAGCCTTTCGTTTTTATTTGTATTGCCCATTGTCTCATCAGAGAATTTGATATTTATAGTTTAATTATCTTCTGGCAACACTCTGAGTCATAACACTCAGCAGAATTTATTAGTCTAGTTGCTTTTCTGCAGAACCTTGCACTAGTCTGGTACGCTGGTGGTAGTTCTGTTTTTTAAAGAGTAGTCAACACTCATGGGCTGATCTGAGACCTTAGAGATCTACCTGATATGACTGGGGCATCGTATCATTCCAGTTCTGTTCCCCTTTCCCTGCCATGCTTCTGCAGCGGGAGAGAATCAGGAATTTCTTGCATTTTACAGCTCTTGAGAATATCAGCTGATGATATCACTACAAAGTGGCCATGTTATGTTTAATGAATCAGTGCTTTTTCATTCATAAACTTCAGTTAAATTTCCTTGCATGGTGTCCATTCTTCATAGGTTGTTAACACAAGGGTTATAAGCAATTTATTTTTCACTTTGGTCATTGAATTGAAAAAAGGATTATGACAGAGCTCAATTTAAAACTACAGATGCCTTTTTTTTTTTTTAATGTCTATATTGATTTACTCCAGAATGACTCTCTGTAAACTCACCTTCTTATATAAAGACCTTGAAGCAGGCCACCTAAGACCACAAGTCTTTGGTCTTTTTAATAGGACTAGTTACATACATACATGTTCCTTTCCACTAATGCTTCTGTTTGAGCCACTTAGTTTTCTGCCAGTCCATTTCCCAGGAGTTATTCATCTCACTTAATTCTAAAATGATTCTGAATTAATCATAGATCAATCGGTTGGAAGGGACCTTTAAGATCATCTAGTCCAACCATCAACCTAACTTTGATAAAAACCATCACTAAACCATGTCTCTAAGCCTACAGTCTTCTAAATACCTCAAGGGATGGTGCCTCCACCCCCTCCCTGATCAGCCCATGCAAATTCTTAATAACCCTTGCAATGTAAAAATTTTTTCCTAATATCCAATCTGAGCCTCCCCTGGAGCAACTTGAGGCCATTTCCTCTTGTCCTGTCACCTGTGATTTGGGAGAAGAGACTGACCCCTGCCTCTCTACACCTCCTTTCAGTGCTGCAAATGAAAATCAGAACAGTTGAGGTTCAAAATTTGAGTATATAATCAGGCTTCATAATATGTTGTTATACTGAGCTTTTCTTGTAATGTCTGTACCATATAAAGATTTTTGCCTGACGTAGTTCATGACTTTTTCTTCTTTCCAAGAATTATCAATATTGTTTTAGAAAAAGCTCTTTTGTATTTCTGACAAACTGCTTGTTTTCTACTGGTTGTTTGTTTGGTTTTTTTTTTTTTTTTTTGGACAAAATCTTTCCCCTTTCCCCTCTCAGTGTTCAGGAAATGCTGACAGGTCAAAGGCTTTGTCAGTCCAGCTCCCATAACGATGCTGTCCTGGCAGCCCTGAACCAGCAAAGAAGCGATGGCGTACTCTGCGACATCACCCTCATTGCTGAAGAGCAGAAATTCCACGCACATAAAGCAGTCCTGGCAGCATGTAGTGACTACTTTCGAGTAAGTCCAAAGATTTTTATTTTTTTTTCTTATAATAATATTTAAAATTATGCCGGGGTGAGTGGGGGATGGTTATATATATCATACTGAACAAGCTTTAAATTTGAGCCTATGGAAAATTCAAGATTATTGCACATTCAGTAGAGTATGCAACATTAAATGTCCACATACATGTCATAGGGAAGAAATGTTAAGAACCTAATTAATTTTTTTATCATTATTTATGATTAATCTTCTCCCTTCCACCCCTGCAATAGAGATAGGCAGTATCTTTCTCTGAATGTTATGCCCCAGTAAAGTCAGAAAGTAGATTATTTTATTTTTTTTTAGAACCCAGACATTTGAGACAGTTGTGATTAGAGCATGGAAGGGTGGGGAGAGGGAATTTAAATATTAATAAATGCAATGTAAGTCAGCTTGAGAGTGGATTTTTATAGGGATGTAAAAATGTTCACTCTCAAAGAGGAGGCCATAGTAATTTTTAAATCATAAAAAACCTGATTTTCAGAAACAAGTGTTTTTGAAATGTAAAAATTAAAATTTTCCCTGGGAAAAGTAATTCAGACACTCAGCATGGAAAACTGAACTCAGGTGCTACAACTGGAGTAACTGAAAAATTGAGTTTTCTAATAGGAAGAGCATTTTTCATATGAAGCAATTCTACTGACCTTCATTATAACATACTTGCTCAAAATGTTGGACTGTCTGTAGCTCTTCAGTTGACTGGTGTTTTTAAGTGAGTCATCCTGTTGTTGTTCAGAGACTAAAGCTGAAATTAATTTAAAGTCTGTTTTCTCTAACACAGTAAGTTTTTTAATATTTTACTGATGCTGTGAACTTCTTTACGGTGACCTTTTTGTTTTGTTACAATAGTAATACAATGAATGACAACTCCTTTACCTGAGCAGAATTTTTATCTTCCTGTCAACTCTTTCTCTTTTGGTTAGAATTGAGACTTGGTTTATTCTTTGTATTTAAGAAATATTGTCAACTTTGATGTTACTTTCACTGTGCTGATGCTGAGCTGATTAATTGTTCTTTTTTTGAGCTTGTCTACTTGCTTATGTGTTCTGCTTCTGCGGACTTTGTGCTGCCATAGCTGCTAATGTTGCTTTATCGTGGTGCCCTGGCCTGCTGGAGCACAGGTTGCTTACCACATTTTTTCCTTTTCCCCCAGCACACAGAGGGGGATTGAGGAGCTCTTTAGCTCTAGCAAGTGCTATATATACTTGTTGATGATAGATATACTGCAGGGCTGCTGTTCTGGTTTGATTGAAATATTTTAATAAGGGTGCCATATCATTCTGCAGCACCTGTGACATAGATTCCTTCCAGAGCTCATTGTACCCTGTCCTTGGGAACATCACAGAGTGGGCAGTTGTACCCAGCACTCAAGTGTGTGGTAGGAACAGCTTCTACCTTGGTCACTTATTCATTGACCTTGAGATTTGAGGCACTGTGACCACACTGTTATTTCCAATTGAGTTGCTTGGGGTTTGCTGGACAGTTACTGTAAATTAAAATCTTAATGCCCAACAGAATAGAAAAAAACCCACCAGTCTTACAATTAGCAATTTAACCTACTGTTAGGTAAGTCTCTTCTATTAAAAAAATAGTGATAAAATGATCTATGCAGCATTTAGTAATCTGATCTACCTTAAAATTGTTATAATAATTTGGTAGGACATAGTCTTCAGACTTCAGGTGTTGGCTATAAATACAGAACTGGTGCTTTCTGAAGTGAACCAAACAGTTTCTATTATTACTGGACACAAAGCTTTTTTAGAAAATTGTGAAATGAGATTTATGTTCTGCAGGAAGATAGCAAAAAAAGTTACTATACACTATATTTCTAATTCTAATAATTTAGACAAATCAGGAGTTGATTAAAAACTAATATTTTTTTGTATTAAAACTGAGATTGTTAGTGTTTTTGTATTTAGGGGAATTTTGCCTAATTAGAGCTACCCAAATATTTATTTCCTAAGGTTTAGGAGAATGATGCCAAGCTTCATTCAGAGTCAGTAAAGAGAAACGGGCATTTCCAGATGATGATAACAGAGGATAGAAGATTTATTTAGACTGAAATGAATGACCATCTGGAAATGCCAGATCTCTCTGCACTGACTGTAAAGACTAGACTCATATGCTTCAAACTTAGCTGTTAATATTACATAAGATGATTTCTACCCTTAGTTTTTCCTGGATTTTCTTGGAGAAATTCTTGGATGAACCTTGCAGACTTTCTAACCCTGAAGACGTTTATGAAGAAGTCATTGCCATAGGAAACTTACCTCTCCCTAATTTTTGTGAGATGTAAGCACAGGACTGCACTAGACTGGATTCCAGGAACATCAGATGTTGGAGTTGCCTTGAATAAAACAGAGATGACAACACTGTGCATCAGTGTGACACAAAGAACTCCCCTACCATAGCTTCTGGTTTCTATGTCTCATAGATTTGATTAATATACCAGCCTACCTTCAGCTCTATCTGGAGAGGTTGTCATCCAGTTCTTACAATCTCACAGATTACTCCAGAAATATGTTCAATTCTACGCAGGGCTTTATGAGAATGAATCAGCATGATTTTTGTTTTGTTTTCTTTTTTCTTTTTTTTTGTTACTCTTGTAAAACAGCTTACATTAGGGACTGGATATTTGCGTTCTACAGAGCCCTTTTACAGTTTTCTACTGTGTCTACTTTGATTTAGATGGAGCTATTTCTGAAATTGTGTTTTTTTTGATGAGAATAACAGGTCAGTTGAGCAGCATATTTTAATTTTTTTCAAATTGCTGCTTATTGCTTTCTTTTACTGCAAAGAAAAATTTGTTAAAACTTTAGAAGGAGAGCTAAATGTATGTCATGTTACAGACTGAGGGAATTGGAGCTATTCTATGTGGGAGAGTGGAGAAGGACAGAGGTTGCTTTAGCAATTTTGCTTTGAGATTATAGTCTGGAGTACAATCTTCACTTGTTTTTCTAAGGCAAGCCAGAGATCTGAGTTTCAGCAAAACACAAAGGGCCAGCCTCCCACGGTAACAGCCTGCCATCTCTTCTTCCAGTTGGTATGGTTAGTCTTGTAGTTCAGCTGTGCTGAAACACTGGAATTTAAATCCTAAGCATAGCACATGATTTGGGAGCTCGTTACATTTGTACACCAAAATGCTGTCTTTGTTTTCTTTAAGAAAAAACTGTATAGAAAGACTGCACTAAAAATACAGACTTAAATTGCAAGATTGGACACTTGAAAACTAGGGTTTTCAATTTGTTTTCCGTTCAGTATCTCCTGTTACGTTCCGGACCTCTTCTTTCAAAATGAGCTAGGGAATACGGTAGTCAGCTCCATTCCCTAAACGACTCCTAGAAAGAGTAGTAAACATATGTATGCTTTTGAGTTCTTTTTAAAGTGACAAACAGCATTTTAGGCAAACTTTTCTGTATGACATGCTGTAATTTGCATGTAATTGTCTCAGTCTATTGCAGTGAGACAAGTGCGGTTCAGTTAGTGAGTGTGTGTGCATTGCGATAGCTCTAGCAAGCTAAGTGATTTCCAATTAAAAGATTCTTTTTTTTTTTTCTTTTCTTTTTTTTTCCCCCCCTCTGGGAGCAAAATGAAATGTTACTGCATGACTTGATTAGTCGGCATTTACAGTGTTGGCAGGTGATTATATAACCTCAAGATTTTCTTGTACAAAATACATTGGTTTTCCAGTCTGAACATCTCCTTCCTCCTTATTTTTCATTTGAGTGGGCTCACAGTCACAGGGCTTTGATCTTCCTCCAAAAAACCAACAGATTTTCCATGTGATCTGGATAAACGAAATTATATCAATTAACTAAAATAGATTTTAAAATGTCAATAATATTCTATTTTTTTCCACAATGAGCATGTTCAATTATTAGAAAAATCTTTCTTCTCTGAAATGAACTAGTAGATATTAATTTTGCATACAGGCTTTGTATTTATAACTGTCACAGTCGAGTCTTAAGCAGTTTATTTTCTGGGTTTTTCTGTGCCATCTTTCCTCCCCGTCAACAGATAATTTCTTTGTGTGTACATATTGCACTGATTGTTCATATTTTGCAATATATTGTGTTGTTAAGGTAGGGAATTATTTTTCATAAACAAATCCCTGAGGTATGAAACACTGTATAATGCAAAGAGCTTTCAAGGCCTTGTTACAAGAATCATAAAGAGGAAAAGGCTCTCCCTAACACATCTTAGGGATGGATCTAAGGACCTAGTTCAGAGAAATCAGAATTACCTGCTGCTTTTGCGCTATAATGTGATTTTGTTTTTCAGTATTTTACCATTGATGTGTGTGTACCAAAAGAACAGTATTTTCCTTGCTTTTGTACCCTGGAAATGATGCTGCGTAGAAATTGTCTTTCCAGATAATATTTTAAAATGTTAGCTCTTTCCATTGGATGAAAACAACTCTATTCTTCTAGCAACATCTAGTCATTGCCAAGACTTTTGTGCCAAAAAAGACCCTTACCCTCACTTTTAGCTTCCTGTGTAGGTTGAGAAATACTTTCTCGTCTTAAATGTCTAAACTGTTCCTGTGATCATTTTAATATAATTTTTTCGGTTGGAAAGCTTATTTGTGAACAGATCCTCCTCTAGTGCTCAAGCTAGAAGGCTGGTCTGTTAGTTGTTTGGAAGCTGTCATACCTATCCATATGTGGCTTGAGGCCAGAGAAGGACTCCAAGTAGAACTACTCCTTTCTCTTGGGCATCTGACACATCCGTGATACACTAACAGATCAACTGCAGGATGCCCATGTACAATTGTAGAGGTGTCAGGTAAACATCCCAGAGGTGACAAACCACACACCCTCTTATGAGTCCTTGAATCCTTTCCTTCTTATTTTTGTTCTCACTGATCATAGAATCATAGAATTATCTAGGTTGGAAGTGACCTCTGAGATCACCTACTCCAACCATCAACCTAACTGATAAAAACCATCACTAAACCATGTCTCTAAGCACCATGT